CTAGCTTTTTTCATTCAACAATATATCAGAACATCTTTCCATTTCTTTTTTTTATTGCTATATATGATTTTCATTATATAAAAAACTTAATCTTTAGTCACTAATGGGCATTAAAGTTGTCGCCAATTTTTGCTATTACAAACAATGCTGCAAACATCATTTAATTGGGAAGATATTGGGGTGCCTGGATGGCTCAGTCAAGTGACCAATTCTTGATTTCAACTCAGGTTGTGATCTCCAAGCACCGCATCATGCTCTGCTCAGAGCTCCCTCCCCTGCTTGTGCTCTCTCTCTCTCTCAAAATAAATAAACTTTAAAACATTAAAAAATAATAAAGTAATTGGGAACATTACAGCTAACATCTGTGTGCTATGTGCCAAACACCACAAGCTTCTACATGAATTAAATACACAATATCACATATATTATTACTACTTGTATAATTTACATTTTGTCTTCTGTAACCTACCCATTCATACTATTTTCCCTGAAAACCAACTAATTATGTTTTTAAATTGGCCAGGATACAAAAAAAAATTTTTTTTTAAGTTTATTTACCTTTAGAAAGAGAGAGAGAGAGAGAACAACTGAGCAGGCACATGAGCAGGGGAGGGGCAGAGAGGGAAGGAGACACAGAATCCAAAGCAGCCTCCAGGCTCTGAGATGTCAGCACAGGACTTTAACCCACAAACTGTGAGAACATGATCTGAGGAGAAACCAAGGGTCGGAGGCTTAACTGACTGAGCCACCCAGGCACCCATGGCCAGGATACAAATTTAATCTAAAAAATTTCTGGCAGAATATCCCCATGAGTTCCACGAAAACAGCATATGAGCACTCATGCATTTGTACATTCTACAAATATTATTTGAGAACCTACTATGTGCTGGACACTAAGTGAACAAGACATAGTCTCCATACTCACTGGTTTTAGCCTAGCTAAACTGAGTTAACGAGAGAGGAAAAAAAAGTAAAAAATAGAATACATCAATTAAAGAAAGACTAGTATCTTATATCAGTGCACACCATTCAAACACCATTCAATACACAATTATAATTACCTCCTAAACCAGTCTTGCCACATCCTATGGATCTGATCTTCAGATTCATCTTAAAACACTGGTTTACTTATGTCATTTTCATGCTCAAGAACCCACAACTTCTCTTAGTATTTCCCAAATACACCTCACCCATTCTCATTAGCTATTTCAACCTTCACCACTAAAGGATTCCTGTTTCCCACTACAACTCTTAAAGAATCACTTAAGTAAACCTCAACGCTTACTTTACAGAACAAAAAAGTCTATAAAGCAAGAATGCTTTCAGCACCTAACTGCCTGCATCCATACTCATTACACCTTCCTCCATTTTCAGTGAAGAGATTTTGTGTTCCTCTTCTCTAAACCAATCGCTTCATGAATATTCTTGATCCCGTCTCCTCACTGCTATGTAAGGATTTTGTTCCCTCTATTATCTCCTGTATCTTCAACCTCTCCCTCTCTGATTCTTTTTTTCCCTCAGGCAATAAACATTCTCAAGTCTCTTCCACCTTGAAAAAAATTCTCCCTTCACCCCACATAATACTTTATCCTAAAATTTTCTCTCATCTCCTCCCCTTTAAAACCAAACCTCTCGGGTGGCTCAGTCGGTTAAACGTCCTACTTCAGCTCAGGTCATGATCTCGCAGTCGGTGAGTTCGAGCCCCGTGTGGGGCTCTGTGCTGACAGCTCAGACCTTGGAGCCTGCTTCTGTTTCTGTGTCTCCCTCTCTCTCTGCCCCTCCCCAACTTGTGCTCTGTCTCTCTCTGTCTCAAAAATAAATAAATGTTAAAAAAAAAATTTGGGGCGCCTGGGTGGCGCAGTCGGTTAAGCGTCCGACTTCAGCCAGGTCACGATCTCGCGGTCCGAGAGTTCGAGCCCCGCGTCGGGCTCTGGGCTGATGGCTCGGAGCCTGGAGCCTGCTTCCGATTCTGTGTCTCCCTCCCTCTCTGCCCCTCCCCCGTTCATGCTCTGTCTCTCTCTGTCCCAAAAAATAAATAAACGTTAAAAAAAATTTTTTTTTTAAATAAAAATAAATAAAAATAAATAAATAAATAAAACCAAACCTCTCGGAGTGCCTGGGTGGCGCAGTCGGTTAAGCGTCCGACTTCAGCCAGGTCACGATCTCGCAGTCCGTGAGTTCGAGCCCCGCGTCAGGCTCTGGGCTGATGGCTCAGAGCCTGGAGCCTGTTTCTGATTCTGTGTCTCCCTCTCTCTCTGACCCTCCCCCGTTCATGCTCTGTCTCTCTCTGTCCCAAAAATAAATAAAAAACGTTGAAAAAAAAAATTTTTTTAAACCAAACCTCTCTAAAAATGTCTATCTCATTATCTAAAATTTCTCACCTTGTGACTCAATGAAGTCTAGCTTCTGCCTCCCTATCATTCCTTTAAAACAGCTGTCACCAGGAACAAACAATTTCTTGGGTCTCCATAAGATTGTTCTCAGTTCCTGGGGCACCTGGGTGACTCAAGTCGATTTAGTGTCCGACTTCGGCTCAGGTCATGATCTCACAATTTGGTTCATGGGTCGAACCACCAGACTGTTAGTGCAGAGCCTGCTTGGGATTCTCACTCTCTGCCCCTTCTCCACTCATGCTTTCTCTCTCAAAATAAACTTCAAAAAAAAAAAAAAAAAAAGATTTTTCTCAGTTCTTATAGTACCTGACTTCTCAGAATAATCTAACAATGATCATTCTTTGCATAAAGCATTTTCCACTGCTCTTCATTTAAAAAAAAAAAAAAAAAAAAGCCCACTATCATCTAGTTTTTCTCTTTCCTAACTGTTCCTTTTCAATTTCAGTGGTTTATGGGCTGGTTTTCTTCTGTGTCCTTAAAGGTCTTCTGCCTTAGATTAATGTGCCCAAGGTCACATAACTAGTGACAGAAGACTAGATACACAAAGGACTAAAAATGCCATACTTTACACATGCTAACACCTCTTACATTTAATGCATTTGTGCTTCAGTATCTGCTCCCTAACTCTACCAAAAGTCTAGAAGAATTAGAATTCCTTTTAATGGACTAGAGAATTTTTGTAATGCTAAATCTTATTTCCAAAAGAAACATTTTAGTTCAAGCCCCAGTAGGGCTCTGTGTTGACAGTTCAAAGCCTGGAGCCCGCTTCTGATTCTGTGTCTCCCTCTGTCAGCTCCTTCCCTGCTAGCACTCTGTCTCTCTCTCAAAAATAAATTAACATTAAAAAAAAACAGTAGTTCCCAATTTGAAGTCCCTTAATTCTTCCAAATAAGGAAATCAACATTTACTAAACACTTATACAGATCCCTAAAAAAAAAAACAGAATAGATGTCCTGTAGGTATGTTTAACATTTCACAAAAGCTAAATACAAATTACACATATACAGGGGCACCTGGGTGGCTCAGTCGGTTAAGCGGCCGACTTCGGCTCAGGTCATGATCTCATGGTCCATGAGTTCAAGCCCCGCGTCAGGCTCTGTGCTGACAGCTCAGAGCCTGGAGCCTGTTTCAGATTCTGTGTCTCCCTCTCTCTGACCCTCCCCCGTTCATGCTCTGTCTCTCTCTGTCTCAAAAATAAATAAATGTTAAAAAAAAAAATTAAAAAAAAAAAAAAAACAAATTACACATATACATAAGTAAAATTCCACAGGCTATTACTTAATAAGTGCAGGTTGGTAAGCAAATCTTTCTAGGCATTATTTCACCCTAATAATCCTTTAGTCAGGTCTGCCTCTGGTGCTTATTCACACATTCCAAAGACATATAATAAGACGGATATGTACTGTAACAGACGATGTACAAAATCCTACTGAAATACAGTTAAAGGAGGGATTGGTTCTACATATAAAAACTTCACAGACAAGACATCTGAGAGGGTCCTAGAAGGATAATTCAGCTCTCTGGGCTGCAGATGCTTCATGTCTGTTTCTGGCTACAAAAATTCACAGAATTTCACTTTAGGTTGGATAAGTCTTTAAAGATCATCTAGCACTGAGGTTTTCCACCTTTTTTTTTAAGTAACAAAATCTTTTCTTTAGAAGTCTAATTGAAACTTTCAGTATATTAGAGATAAAAGCGGACTTGCTCTTTTGAAAGGAGAAAGTCACTGGAAAATACCTGTACTAATCAACCCCCATTCACTTTAAAATAAGAAAAACGAGACAGTAAGAAGAAAAATGATTTGACAAAGGCCCACATCGAAACAGAAATACAATATATTCAAAGAATTCTTCTTAAGTATTACCTCTTCTTTTAAATCTTTCCTAATTTTCTCCCTAAACGCAGTTTACAACTCCTTATATTATTCCTTAATATATATAACATATACTTCCATTATGGCTTCTATAAATTTTTAGCACCCTAATTTTAACTTTTTTTTTTTTTTTAACATTTATTTATTTTTGAGAGACAGGGCGAGACAGAGCACGAGTGGGAGAGGGGCAGAGAGAGGCGAGTACACAAAATCCGAAGCAGGCTCCAGGCTCTGAGCTGTCAGCACAGAGCCCGATGCGGGGCTCGAACTCATGGACCACGAAATCATGACCTAAGCCAAAATCGGCCACTTAACCAACTGAGCCACCCAGGTGCCCCTAACTTTTTTTTTTTTTTTTAACACGTGTGTGTCCCTCTTCTACATTGGAAGCTCCCTGAACACAAAGGCTGTCTTACTCATTTTTTGTATGCCCAGCACTGAGAATTAAATTAAGTTATATCCAATCAAGTTTTAGAAAAGATTTAAGATAGCGCAGTGCGTGGCACACAAGACTTTAGTATTTGTCAAATAAATTTGCCAAAATAGGTCATTAAATGAAATAACATATCTAAAGCAGTTAGAACAGTATTTGACACATGGTGTATATTCTTTAAACATTAGCTGTTAATATGTAATTTTACGTAGGCTAAAAAAACTGAAGCTATTACTGAACATTTAATCTAGAAAACTAAGCACCTTTAATCAAGGTTTCAATTTGCTCATTCACATATTACTAATGCAAACACATCTTTGATGAGAAAAAGATTTAGCCCATCCATAAAGATCTCTTGACCCTGCAGCCTGGAAAAAATAGTACAAAGAATTGTGTACTGTTAATCTCTAGACTTGAAGCTAAAGGAGAAATTCGGCCAGTCTTAAACTACAAGCTAAATCACCTGTTTCAGTCATCTGTCCAATGGGAGTGATGGGGAGTGGAAAAGATTACCTCCAAGGTTCTTTCCTGTTCTAACACTGTAGAGGTTTCTAACAAATTGGGACCTAGAATCCTTCACCTTTCAACTCAACAGGATCAAGAACTCTATAAAAAATCAGTAAATGGTGCACTGGATTTGGTGTCAAATGGACAGGGTTTTTATATCAGTTGTAGTTAACAGTGTAATTCTAAGTAAGAAGCCAACTCTCTGTATCTCAATTTCCTCAACCTGGAAAATGAAGTTGTTGGACAATATGATCTCTCTTTCAAATACATCATAGTCACAACATTCTATGAAATAAGCTACCTCTGAAAGAAATATTCAGGTACATGTTTAGAGGATTCCGGCATAAAACAAAAAGCAGACAATTTCAGAATTAAAAGAAACCTCAGAAGACTTCTATGACTCACACAACTCAGACCTACGTCCTCTCTAATACACTGTGGAAGAGGTCACCCAAACATTCTAGTAATGAAGAACAACCCATAGAAACAAGCCACTTCATCGTAGGCCAACTATGACGCCCAAGTTTTTTTACTGAAGCCACACTACCCTCTAATAACTTCCACCCATTAGTTTTACCCCTTTCAACCAAGGGCACCTATTTATTTGTGGCCAGTGATAATATGCCCCTTAAATATATTTTCCAAAATTAAAATTCCCAACTCCTTCAACCTTTCCTCATAACCTAATACCAAGACTCCCTCACCATCCAGCATGCCTTTCTCAGAGAACCCACCATTCTTAGCGAATGTCAAAATTACTCCAAGAGCCCTTCCCATTCTGACATCCTGATTCCTCGTGAAACTCAAGATTTCCCACTTGTCCGGCTGACACCACATGGAAGCCCCTAATTGCCCTCCACCCAAGGAAGCACCTGTGATGGGAAATGTGCCCCTGTTGCTCTTTCGGGAGACAGAAACAGAGAAGCCCCCACCCGGCTCTCCTCCCGGGTCCAAGCCTCCTCCCTCACCGGTACTGCTTGGGGTCGCTGGGAGACTTGACGATCTCAGGGTCTCCGGCATTACTAACAGACCCCCTTCGTCCCTCTTCCTCAGATTCATCAGCTCCCAGACGGGCAACACGGCCGCTCTCTCCCAAATCCTGTCCGTTGGACTGCAGGTCAGGACAGCTGCAGGTAGACTTCGCCTTGTTCCTTCCAGGCATGGTCAGAGTAGGAAAGGGTCTGGCAGCAGCCGAGTCTTCGCACCGACCCCGCGCTCGAATTCTCCACAGCGCCGCGGACTCCCGCCCGGCCTCAAACCACAACTTCCTCCCGGTGGCACAGACTGCAGCAACCGTGACTCTCCTCAGCATTCACCACCAAGCTAGAGCGATGGGCATCCCGCTCGCTTGGGCCCACCTCCTCCTCCTACTCCTCCAGCCGCTCCTCCTCCTCCGCGTTTCAGAGGCGGCGGCGGCCGGCGCTGGTGCTGCCGCAGCCGCTGGGGAGGACAGGCCTGAACCCCTCCCCCAATCCGGTCTGCCTCACACCAACTTCCCTCAAGCCCCCGCCCTCGCGGTCGCCGATGACGTTACTGATTCTAGCCAATCAGTAGGCAAGAAGAGAGGTCACGCGCATGCAAACAACCAATGGGAACAGGGAATAAAAAGAACCAAAGCGACCGGGCCGGATTTTTAGAGCACCTAGAAACCTAGGGTGGGCGGGGCGAGGAAGTAGAGGCGGAGAGAGTGGCGTGGAGGACGACGGGAAGCAAGTGCTTGCGCCGCGTTTATGACGTTTCCGGGGTGTAGGTTTGAGGGAGAGGCTGAGTAATGTTCCGCGGCCTTGAGAAAAATATTCCCCTAATGAGAAAACCGAGAAGCGAGTGGAGAAAATGAATTCCCAAGTTTTTTTTTCTCCGATTATATTTTGTGTATTCTGCCCTTCACAGCCGGCGCGTAGCCATAGGCTGTGACTCAGCATATAAAAAGCGGAACGCCGGAAGTATTTTTCGCCGCCGGATGGAAGCTGCGAGAGAGCTAAGCTAAGCTGAATGCCAGATAGCCGTTAAGGTTTTTCACCTTATCGCCAGGCAAACCTTGGTGCTATTTGCCCTCAGAGCCTAAGAACGCTTGAAAGACCAGTGTGCTCATTCTTCCATGCGAAAACATTAGCTACCCCACAGCCTAGAGTCCACAGCATTATGTTCAGCTAACTTTAATTAAGTAGCGACAGCTTCCCTGGCTACTACCCTGAAGTACCTTTTCCAAAGTTTTTTCTGCTTGTAATGGTCTTTGGTGGGCCATCATCTAAACTGTAACTGAAACAGACATACTTGGAAAATGAAAAGCAACTGCCATGTTAATGAAGTACAATATACTGACACCGTGAGTCAAAAGATCCTCACACGTAAAGGGAATAAATCTGTATAAATGAATGGAGAAAGACCAAGCAGAGGGAGGGATTCATTTAATGGCTGTTAAAGGTATTTAAATGTTTCTAGGCCGCCTGAGTTCCAGACACAGGGAAGGCAATCAGGAACAAACAAAAATCCCTGTCTTTATCAGGCTTGCTTTTTTTTTTTTAAGTAAACTCTACCTGTAAGGTGGGGCTCCAACTCAATACTCTGAAATCAGGAGTGGCATACTCTCCCAACTAAGTCAGCCAGATGCCCCTGAGGTTTGCATGCTTATGATAATGGGGGGTGGGGGGACAGAGAATAAAATCAGTGATATATTTTTAAAACAATGAATGCTCTGACAAATAATGCAGGGTAGGCGGATAAGGAGTTGGGAAGGGTAAGTGCAATGATTCAGGCAGGAGATGATGAAAACCTGAACTAGGGCAGCAGATGAGAAAAAATTGAAAAAATATTGTTCAAATATTCCAGTTTATTTTCATACATCTTTTCAGGATGATCATCTATCCGTTTTTAAGCTAAGAACTCCTCTGGACTTCCCTCCTTCAAGGAAATGGTTTTTCTTGTATATCCAGCCCCCAGCTTAGCTTCCCAGTCAGTACATTGTGAAGCAGTCAGTAATGTTTGTTGTTGAATAAATACCTGAAGTGACATGTCTATTTTGAAGGTGTTTTGTTTTTACTTACCAAAGCAATAACATCATAAATAAGGAATCTTCAGATTCAGCCAGTAATTAGAATTTTATAGCTGGGAACAAAGAGAGGCCATATCTAAAGTGCGACCTGGGGGTGCCCAGCTGGTTCAGTCAGTGGAGCATTGATCTTGGGGGTGTGAGTTCAAGTCCCGTGTTGGGTGTAGAGATTAAAAAATAAAATCTTAAAAAATAATAATAAAGTGTGACCCGTTAGTTTTTTCCCTTTAGAAAGAGCCCTCTAAATCTTATAGTTGACCCGACTGTAGAGATACGGTAAGAGATATGGTGTGTGTTTATTTATATAAATAAATATCAAGGCATACATTTATTCATTCAACCAACAAACTGAGCTCCTAATATATGCCAGGTACTGGGAATAAAGATACTGGGAATTACAAGAGAACTAGTGGGAGAGACATTAAACAGGCACACAAATTTTTTCTTTTTTTTTTTTAATTTATATTCTAGTCAGTTAATATACAGTGCAATATTGGTTTCAGAAGTAGATTCAGTGATTCATCACTTACAATACCCAGCGCTCATCACAAGTATCCTTCTTAATACCCATCATCCAGCTAGCCCATCTCCCACTCACCTCCCTCCACCAATCCTCAATTTATTCTTATCATTAAGAACCTCTTGTGGTTTGTTTCCTTTTCTTCTATTCCCCCCACCCCCACCGTCTTCCCATATGTTCAACTGTTTCGTTTCTTAAATTCCACATATGAGTAAAATCATAAGATATTTGTCTTTCTCTGATTGGCTTATTTCCCTTAGCATAATACATTCTAGCTCCATCCACGTCATTGCAAATGGCAAGATTTCTTTTTTTTTTTTTTTGATAGCTGAGAAATATTCCATCGTATATATAAACCATGTCTTTTTTATCCATTCGTCAGTCAATGCGCATTTGGGCTTTCGCCATCGCTTGGCTATTGTTGATAATGCTGCTATAAAACATTGGGGTGCATGTACCCCATTAAATCTGTATTTTTGCATCCTTTGGGTAAGTACCTAATAAATAAGCACACAAATTTTTAAATTTATCATTGTGAATAGCTCTAAAAGGAAAAATGCAGAGAGACCTAGAATAGAGAGTTTCTCTAAACAATAGACATTTAAACTTAAATTTGAAACATGTATAGGAATTAGTGTAGAAATTTATAGGAATAGACTTGTTTAAAAGCTCTGAGAAAGCAAGTCAATATGACCAACGTGTCATAATCAAAGAGCAAAGGGGAAGTGAGTCAGTGGCCAAAATAATACAGAACCTTTATAAGAATAAAAAGAAATAATTGCATTATCTATTTTTTTAAATTTTTTTTAACATTTTTATTTTATTTTTGAGACAGAGAGAGACAGAGCATGAACAGGGGAGGGTCAGAGAGAGAGGGAGACACAGAATCTGAAACAGACTCCAGGTCTGAGCCGTCAGCACAGAGCCTGACACGGGGCTCAAACTCATGGACCGCGAGATCATGACCTGAGCCGAAGTCGGACGCCCAACCGACTGAGCCACCCAGGCGCCCCTGCATTATCTATTTTGTGTATCACTGGATTCCTAGCTTCTAGGATAATGTCTGCCACATTAAAGGTACTCACTAGGGGCACCTGGCTGGCTCATTTGGTAGAGTATATGACTTTTGATCTTGAGTTCATGAGTCTGAGCCCCACATTGGATGTAGAGATTACTTAAATATGTATGTATAAATACCCACTAAATAATGGTTGAACAAATGAAACAGGAAGACAAGATCACAAGTGTTTTCCAGGTAGATCACTCTGGTTGATGTGTGAAAAATAGTTTGGATTGTGGAGGTGAGGACAAGACTAAAAGTAAGAAGAGAGGAATCACTTAGGAAGGTATTAAAATAATATAGGCACTAGAAAATGATAATTTGGATTTGAGGAGTGATGGTGGAGATGGAGAGATGTATACATATATGTCATATATTTAGGAGGTGGAATTGACTGGTTTGGGAACTTCTTGATGTGGAAGAAGTGTCAAGTATAACTCCCTGGTGTCTTACTTTCTGGATGAGTATGAAATAGACCAGGGACTGGACTTGGGTCCCCTCTATCTTGACTGCAAAATCTAGTGTTCTTTGGCTTCCTCCATAAGGCGGGGGGGGGGGCCCCCGCTAAAACTCTATGTCTCTTGAGTAGCATATCTTGCAGGAAAGCAGAGGGAGTATGCTTACAAAAAGAGGATCCTTACTACAGAGACTGAAGAAGACCAGACCAAACCAGTCTGTGCCAAGATGGACTCCAGTGCTGAACTTTCACCGATGTTTTCTCTCAGTATAACACTAAAAATTGTGCTGGTGATGGAGATTTAACACATCAATTAGACATGGGACACATGAAGAACCATGACCTTTAAATGTACAGGTGCTAATAAATCCTAGCGTCTACACGCTTAGACATCACCTTTTTCCCATTTAAGTCTCTTTAAAATAACTCTCCCTGACCTCTCCTCATGGAGTCAACCTGAGTGAGGATTCTTTCCTTTGTGCTGTCTCCCTTCTGTCCAAGCATAAGCCAGAGTAAAGCCTTGCCTAAAACTCCTTGTGGTCTCCTTTCTGTTTCTATTGTTTAGAGAGCCCAAGGTAGGTAATAGTGCCATACCTCAGTGAACAAATTCTGAAAGAGGAACAGGTTTTGAAGGTGAAAAGCATAAGCTCAGTTTTGGATATATTATGTTTGAGTCATTTGTGTGTCATGCAAAAGAAAGAAAGATTAGGTGTAGAGCTCAGAAAAGAGGCTTTAACTGGAGATGCCAATTTGAAGTTTATCAGCTTATATAGATGGTAACCAAATTCTATTGAATGAGATCACCCACACTGAGATTGCAAAATGAAAAGAAAAAAGGGCCAAAGAACCAAGCTTTGAGGAGCTTTTAGCAGATGAAGAATTCCCAAAAGTGACAGAAGGAACTACCTGGTAAGAAGGAAGACCAGAAGAATGTAATATTTCCAGAAAAATACCTCTTTGATGCTTGGCTCAATACCATTCTGACCCTATAGCAAATTGCAAAGTGTCAGATTAGATGTATAAAAGATGAGAACTAGTAGAGTATCACAGAAATACTTTAATCTGGCCTCTTCAGATATAAAGAGAAATACCTACCCAGAGAGGTAAAGTTCATAAGCAACCTATGACACAGCCAGGACCTCCAAACCAGAAGATTGGTTTTCCCATTTAAAATACAGCTAACCTGGGGCACCTGGGTGGCTCTGTCGACTAAGCTGTTAAGCATCAGACTCTTGGTTTTGGCTCAGGTCATAATCTCATAGTTTGCGAGATCGAGCCCCGTGTGGGGCTCTGTACTGACAGCACTAAGCCTGCTTGGGATTCTCTCACCCTCTCTCTCTGTCCCTCTCCTACTCACTCTCTCTCTTTCTCTCTTAAAATAAATAAATTTAAAAATAGTAATA